TTATTCCGTTTATGTTGCTAAATTACAAGTCTTCCTTCCCTAAACCATCTACCTAGCCCTCTATTCCTATAACGTTATTAATAATAATAATTAACTATTAATAATGCCATTAGTACATCAGATCCAGACAAACGTACAACTTTTGTCAGATTTCTTGACCAGCAAAAGCAAACAGCATCTTCCAATGCCAGAGCACCAATGCCAACAGACACCAGCTGTTTGTAACGTGCTTTGCTTCCTTATCTGAGACCATTAACCACAACAGTAATAATTCTGACAGCAAACACAGAGCAATAACCCTGCCTTTTTTCACTGTTATCTTGCTGTTTGACTGTTATCTTCAAAGGAACGTGGCTAAATGTACCTCTCAAGTGTTGAAGAGGTAGAGCAGAGAACTGTGAGATAAAATTAGTGGAGATCACATTAGAGCCTTCAGCGAGAGGGATTTCTGGAGAGATAAGTCACATATAGATGTGCTGGTTTAGTGGTGCTTGTGCATCCCCCAAATACCTTAAGGGGAAAGGTGGGGGGTGGCCAGGTAAGAGCAGCAATGCACCCCCACCTTTGTGGCTTGCAGGTCTCCAGCTCTGGGCAGCAAATTACCTGTTGTGGGTACAGAAATCACGCCTGAAACAACACAGGGTGTTGTAATAATTCTGGAGTGCTGAGACCAGTTATGGAGACAGAGCTAATAAAGAGAAAATAAAATAATTACTAGGTATAATTATCATCAGTCTGCAGATCTGCCAGGCACAGGCTTACTAGGGCATTAAGTTCTTAAAAAGAGATTGCTCACATTGATCAGCAAATGTGCTTCTTCCACATATTATTTGCACATTTTATGCTCACAGTATTCCTTAAGTACTAATATCTTTTATGGATTGTTACCATCTGCAAACATTAAATCATGGGTGTTATAAAACACGTAAGAATGGGTCAAAAAAAATGAAAAACAAATACAACCACATTGAAGTACTGGATAAACACTAAGGATTCTTTAGGACAGCTGTTTAGAAACAGGGCTCTAATAAGTAGAGCCTAATAATTTGGCTGGGTGTGTGTTTTTCTGGAACTTTCATTTGGTTCTCCTCTATGGGAAGAAGAAAGAAAAAGAAAAGCAAACAAGAAAACTACAATTCCTACAGGGAAAATAACAGACACTGGAAATCCATCTGGGAGGCCAGGAGGAGAGAGATTTTAAATACGGAGCAGAGGCTTATCAGATTTTATAACAGAGCAGGTGTGTTGGTTTCAGCAGATTCAACATTGATTTTTCTGTACAATCTTTGGTTGTTCTTGATTTCTGCAGATTTTGCGTTAAGAGAGTTACTGGCCAGAATGTTTGGCCAATAACTCTTTATATGACTATATCAGACTATTTGTAGAAAAAAAATCAGTAACTGACACTCTCTTATTAAAACCACAGAAACTAAAATTTAGGCTAAAATTCTCTATGGAACAGAAGCAATTTTTGATCAACTTTGTGTGCAGCAGAAAGAGCCAAGATAGATTTGAACTTGTGTATCCTTACCTACCAAAGCTGGTTATCTACTGAAACTTTTCAGCCCATAATTTGGAATGTTGAATCTTGTTTTTCGAGGTAAACCCCACTCCTTCATCAATCCACTTTTACAAAAGGGTCAGTCATCATTATTGAGCAAAAGCAGCTGTTAGGAGACAGCATTTTCTGGGGGCTTGCAGGAAGCTCCTCCTACATCACAGGTTTCTTTGGAAACACGTCAATGAAAGCTGCGCTCGTGGGCTGTGAATGAGAGGAGTAACAGGTCATGTAGAGATAATCCAGGGACATCTGTGCAGTAGGGGAGAGGCCATGGAGGAGTCACAGCTGCAGAGGTTTTGTCAAAGTGGCAGACAAGGAAAATGGTCTGTACAGCAAAACCTGACAGGATATGAACACGCAGCAGCTTCAATTTGTCAAGGGCTCAGAAAAGATGCTGCAAACCTGCTCACCGAGGAGAGCCTGGGTAGGAGATTTAGCTGTTTGAATGGCTAGAGAAAGCTCTCTGGGACAATGTGTGAAAGAGAATCCTCCAGATTGACACAACCTAAATATACAGACCTGGAAAGGAGATTCCATGACAAAAACCTCCAGCCCTTTGCTTCTGTTTCGAGGCTTGAACAAGAGGCAGGATGATAATGTTGTCCTGAGCAATCAAAGGAAGGGCTAGAAGGGAGTGCTTTAGGGGAAAGATTTAAGAGCTGAGTTTTAGCCGTGCAGAGCTGTCAGCTAAACATGTAAAAGGTACCAGGGCTAGAGGTTGACATTTTGGACTAAATGGAAAAGCAGGAAAAGCTTTTATACTGTCAGTACTGATGTGGTTGCTGAGGGGGTAGGAATGAGAGTCACAGGCAAAGGGAAGAAGTTAAAGAGGGGGAAAAAAAGCTTTTCCCAAAGAAATGGAATGGAGAGATGAGACAGAAGGACAGGGTGGAAAAATGATTAGAGAAATCATAGTGAAATGACAGGAGGAGATAATCACAGGAGCCAGGGGAAAGTCAGATTTCCAGGCACATGATTAAATGGGTGGAAGGGGGATGATAGGTCAGGAAGGTGAAGTTGAGAAGCAATTTCAGCAGAAAGAAAGTCGAGGCAGGGACTGCAGAGCTTTGAGGTAAAAGGGTAAGGAATGGGGTGGTGTTTGAAAAGGCAGGTGGGGGAACAGGGAGGATCAAAAAGTGCTTCTATTGTGAGAGAGAGAAACCGGCCTTCAACACAAAGAGCTAGCACAGGAAAGAACAGATTCATAATTAAGGCTGAACTAACCAGTTTTTATACATTGTTTACTCAGGAAAGGCAAGGTGTATGAGAAGGGAGTAACATTCATTATATCTGTCAATATGATGTAAAATATACAAGCTTTTCTCCAGGTCTGCACATAAATCACCAAATACTGCCCTTTATTTACAAGCTGTTGGTGAAGCAGTCGCCGGCTGCTTGAATTTGTGTGATACTTATAAATTTTGTGCTGACAGATTCCTCTGGTGAAATATCTATGGATTGTACAGAGATCCAGTGCCACAGCTGCTGTTCATTTATCATGTACAAGTGCCTGTCCTTACCAGGAAGACCTCCAGGGATCTCCTAAGGATTCAGAGTAGCTTTGCCAATCCAATAGTTCTTCTGAGCCAGGTTTAAACAAATGCCCTCTAATGACACTAAGCTTCCTGAGATCTGGAAATGTTCGATCAGAGTCCCAAACTCTTTCTTTGCACCACCCCAGGAGATCAGGTTGTTTATGAGAATTTAGTCCTAGCTGGAATCCCTAAGCCAAATACACTCACCCTTTGGCAATCATGGCCATAAATCTCCTACATGTAAGTCAGGATCCTGAATTTGTGGCCAGGCCTTTTCTTTAAGCAGCATGCTAAAAATCCATATGCCAAGCAATTCTAGATTTCAGCTTGTTTGGAAATCTCAGTGAAACTTCTCACTTCAGTGAGCCTCATCCATCAGTTCCCTCCATAGATTTCTTACACTTGAATAATTTGCTTTATTTACCTTTGTTTTCCAGAGCTGAGGAGGTGCTGCAGGGAAGGGCCAGGCAGGTGAGGGCAATCCAGGTGTCTGCTTTGCTGCTCAGCCCATCTGGACAAGCCCCAGCTAGAAAAAATTCAATATTGAGGTCAAATCAAACAATTATAAGAAAGAAACAGATAAAGTAAAACAATCAATAATGATATTAATTGATTTGCCCCAAAGGACAAACAGATAATTAAAACTTATTGAAGTGCACAAGCAGCACCTAACACTGACCATTATGTTCCTGTTTGTGCTGCTTGTGTCTGTGGTTGTGTCAAAACTACTGATATTGAATCTTTTAAGTGTACAAATGCAATAGCAATTAGAAAAACATTTCCTGACTGAGTTTGGATGTGTCTTTCCCCTGGTTTCATAGGTTTTCCCAAATGGTGTGGGACAGGTGAGGTTAGGTGTCTTGGCTGTGTCCTTGTGGCCCCCAGGGCTGCTCCCTGGTGGGGTAGCAGGAGAAACAGTAAACACCCTGATGTGTAAACAGTGCCCAGAAATAAATAAAATACTGGTGTGTTATCAACACTGTTTTGGGCACAAATCCCAAACACGGCACTGTGCGAGCTGCTGTGAAGAAAATTAACTCCATCCCAGCCAAAATCACAACAGCAAAACACTGCAAAGTCAGAAGTTTTGTTTGGTTTGAGAAACAATCCAGTGTAACTATGTGTTTTACCAACACTGTTCTTACTATTCTTATGTGGTTTTACTGCAGAGCTGAATATTTGCAATTTACTTGTGTCAAAGCAAAATTGCAGGAAAATGACACATTAGCTACAACTAAGGTTACTTTTGCTCCTAAACTCCCTTTCCCGAATTTCTTTACTGCCTTGGTATCATCAGAGTGCCCATCTAAAATAGGTAAAAGAATTCAACTTGTTCCACTTTTAAATAAATAAATAAATAAATCAGTTTAAATAAAAAAAAAAATCCACATGAGATTTATACTTCTGTGGCAACATTAATGTGATACACTGATTTTTTATTCCCTGATTTATTCATAAACTATAAGGCACTATAAGTGTGTTATTTTTCAGAAGATGTTGTCTGTTTGCTCCTCACTTGTCAGTGTGTGTGCAGATGAGGGAGGGACTCACTGGCATTTCCCTGTGCTCTTGCACTGGTGGAACTGACCGAGGTGTCAGAGGGGGACAATCAGGTCCTGGCTCGAGATTTATGCTCACACCTCCTCACTACAACCTGTGGAATTGTTCTACAGTGTCTCTGGATGCCCCAGGTGACATTTGGGGGTTTCCTCTTGGAGATTTCTACCTTTACAAATAATTGCTTCTGAACTCAGATAATTTATATTTGATTACTGGCAATGTATGTGCACTCTGTCAGTGATTTAATTGGGGGGGGGGGGGGAAACAAAAACCAAAAAACACCCAAGGGTTAAAAGCTCCTGTGATTTGCATAGCAATACTCACCCCCATCTCCCATCCTTTAGGTCTGTAAGAATTCCTGCCACTCCAAGCTGTCCTACCGAGTTGCCATGGCAACGAGAAGAAGGAAACCGTCAGATCTGAAGATTGCAGTTTACAGTTACTGTTCTTCACTACTCGGCCTCAGTTGCTCCAGTTTAATTTGCAACCTCACTTAATCTGTCCGACTGTACCTTGGTGTTCGAGGGCTCATGCCCCACTTCCCTTTATCCATGGATTCCTCTTGCCAGACACCAGGTTTACGCCAATTTTCTCTGAATGTTAAAAGACCATGACATCTAAACCCGACCTTGGGGGAGCAGAAAACAGATTGACTCCATTTTTTTCTATCTGTTGACTTGTTGCTATTCAACTGTTCAGAAAATATTTTGTCTGTGGGTTAGTATTTGTATATGTATGAGTGTATGTATATATATATATTTATATAGAGAGTTCTACCACAGGTTTAGCTTTTATAAAATATTCATCTGGATCAAGGGAGAAAGCAGAATAATACAGCCACAGATGAATTGAACCTGTTCTACCATGGCTAAACCTACTGTATTTGCTGTTTATAGTGTGGCCAGGAGGAGAGGCCCCATTGCCATCCCACCGCTGTGCTGACACAAACCAGGCAGGCCCAGGGCTCTGACGTGGCTCTTCTCGTACCTCAGGTTCAGCAAACAAGAAATACAAGTCCCCTGGGCTTGTTCCTGATCTGAACTGCTTTCCCTCTGCCCCAAATGGAGTTCACGATCCAGGAGGGGCAGCCAGCTGAGACCCAACCGGGAGGGTCACCGTGAACAGCGAGGGCAGCGCTGGGCCTGATTTTAGAGGGGCTAAAGAGGGGCTGCTGACAACATTTCAGTTCTTGTCAGCTCTGCAGACGGGGGGAGGCGGGCAGGTGCCTGCAGGTGAGCAGCTGATTAAAGCAGCAAAAGCTCAGTGTTTCCCAGAGCGCCGGTCTCTCCCTCGGCCTCTGCGCCGCCTCATCCTCCACGTCAGCGCCAGGAGGTCCCAGACGCCCCATCCTATGAATATCCTCACAAACACACATATATATAGTTTTGAATATATATATACATACATACACATGTACACACAGTTTCCAGTTAAGAGTAACAAGAGCATTTCTTTGTGTGTGTAAACTTACCACACTCGTTTGCAGACATGGGAAAAGAAGAAAAAAAAAGGGTGTTCGTTCTGTAGGAATACAGATCCTTTTTTTATTCTGTGAGCATGTAAGGTCAGAAAAACCCTTCTAACTGTACGAAGATGATCATCCTGTTAATAAATTGTAAATGATCCATCAAAGCTCACACCAAATTTTTATAAAATTAACACAAAAAAGTATACTAGTGACAGACTGTGGCTTTTATTAGAGCTTGCCAGTAACTAGGGTAAGGTAAGTGTCTTAGAATATTTTAATAAACTTGCTTATTTAAAGTTTAAACAAGAAAGCTTCCTTATGCAATAGAACTTTGCAGCTGCATTCTTTAGTTAGCATTTTTACAGTACTTATGAGTCATACTGTATGTCATCTTTACTACAGTGAGATTATGAACATATCTTCCACACCACGTATATGTTTCAATAGTAAAGATTTTTGGAAGCATCAAAAAGTCCAAACATACATTTAGTTTTCCATAATGCTACACTAGATATTAAATGTGTGTTGGTGGTTAAAATTTGCTGTACAATAGCTTTTCTCTGAATTCCTATATTGTACCAAATATGAAAACAGGTCTTTTTCTTTTTTTCTTTCTTTTTTTTTTTTTTTTTTAATCAAAAGGAGTAATAACAACAGCGACAGAGGAAAAATGAGTTTGTGTTGTGAGCTTTCCTAACGTTGTAGATTTCTTGATAAGATAAGAGCTGCCTTCAGACGGGAACTTATTTTTCCCTTTCAGCTGAACTCCTGCAGTTCTGACCAAGCAAAACCTCCCCCTGACCCCATTTCTCTTGCAGGAGGCTCTCGGTGTCTCAGTTACCAAAGTGGTACTTTGGGCTCAGGGGGAGCTTCTCTTGGTCAAGGACATCAGGACTGGGCTGTTGGCAGCTGCAGGCATTCCAGCAGGGAAGTGCCTGATCTCAAACATTAACATGGGCAAGCTTCTGGTTCTCTTTCTCTGCCCATGCCTTGTAATAACCGTATGCTGCTGCTTTGTCATCAACAATCACACGTCTTTTTAAAAACAAAAAAACAACAAAAAATATATATTCTTTTCAAGCAAATTTTTCAAAAGAAAAAAGAAAACCAATGTATAACACCACTGAATTTCCGACATGTATGTTGCACCCAAAGATTTTCTGCACCCTGTGCTTTGATCTACAAAACCTCTATCTTCAATAAAAGAAATTATAATATCCTCCCCCACAAATACTCTTTTTCTACTTGCTTTCTTCCTCTCCCTATCCAGCAAAAACCCTGGAAAGACACCTCTTGACACTGGTGTCATTTCTGTCGAGTACCAGAGAAAGCTGCCCCTTCTCTCCTTTAAGCCAAGGCTCACAGAGCATGTTTTGGATCGTTCCATCCAAAACGAGGAACAAAGGAAAAGCCCCTCTGCCTGGAACTCCACTAACAATGGCAAGAAGCCTTTCTACCACTCTGTGCCCAAGGATAAGAGGTCTTTCTTCTTGGATAACTCTGCTTTTGACACGCAGAGAGGTCGGAGCCGTGGCTGAAAGTCTGAACCAAGATGCATCAAAGCCTTCAGTCACGATGTCACTTCATCTCTGCACCCACATCAAAGCCTCCCAGCCTTTGCCAGGTGTCTCTGGGCTTCCCACAGGGCTAATCACTGCACTGCCCAAGCATGCAAAGGGGAAAATGAAGCTACCATGGTAATGTTTCTCCTTCTCTGTACCTGAGAACGTTCAACGCAAGTTTGTGGCACGTCCTGTAGCGTTACACGGGGAGGAACCGTATCAGAAGCTGAGATTTCCTACCTGAAGAAGGTTGTCATCTTCTGGCTCAAAAAAAAAAACATGCCCGTTTCCTGAAACAAAGAAGCAACAATAATTTATTTGGGGTTTTTCTCTACAATATAATGAAAAGAAAGTAGAAAATTTACTAAATTGGTTGTATTTTTTTAATAAGCAATTATGGTTAACATTTGTTCAGCCAAGCTTGCTGTTTTTATAACATATCACTTATTCCTACATAGCTATTTTAATCACTACAACATTTACTTCAGTCCATGTTTGTAGATACATAATGCTGTCTAGAGCTGGAAAGGCGGGGAGCTTGATTATCATTTTCTAACATGCACAAAACTTTTTGCTTAAAAAAATCATTTCACTTGAAAAGACTATCTGCTGTTGAAACAAAAATTGGGAATAACCATCAGTGAGAGGAGTTTCTGAGCAAGAAAAAGGTCTCGTGTTTGGTGTACTTGCTAATTGAACCCTTTGTACACCTCATGTGTGTGTTTTTACAAGATATCTACATGCATTTTGTTCAGTAACTGTAGGTCTGAAGAGTAAAGCAAAGGGAAAGGAGCTGAATTTCCTGCTGGGTATGGAGGAAAATAAGGTAGGAGTGGAACGCTGGCTAATACACCCTCTGAGCCCTGTTCTCATCGTGTTTACACTGCTGTAAATCAAAGAGCAACTCCATTGCTGCAACTGAGATCGAGTTAATTATATTTAGATGAAATTTTTCATCTAAACCTCCCCAAATATTGCTTTCACTGGTGGGCTCTGCGCAGGAAAGCTGCAATATTTGTCACAGGATCGCTGAGTGCTGACGCAGTATCAGAAGTCTGTCTTTTGGGGCATACAGAGAACCTACAGCTCAGATGCCTCATGTCCTTCACTGACCACTTCAGTGTGTCTCTGAGGCACCCCCAGTAATTGGGTTTAACCTTTATTTCAAGTGGCTGTGGCCAAATAATTTGTCCTGTTCCCTTGTGTTGTCACTTAAGTTCAGGATCACTGTAATACAAACCTCATCTATTAAATTATGGACTTACAATCAGGTTTTTAGGGCCCTTGATTAAATGTCTTATCACTGCAAAAAGACATATCTTATACCGGCAATTTTTGTCTTTCCTTTTGTAAAGACCTCCTGTCTGGAATACTGAGAAAGCTGCCAATTTTCTTCTCAGATGTTACTAATGCACTCAGCCCCTTGAAACAGCAGAAACCTGTAGACAAATAACTTTACAACGCTTTGTCTAAAGGCTAAGTTATTTTCAGAATGAATTCAATAAGGTCTTATTTAATTTTAAAAAACCCACAACTCTCACAATATATATTATATTAAAGTGACATCAGCTTGAGAACACCAAGTCTAAAGCAAAACTCTGATTCTATCTTGCCTTTATTGCACCTCTAGAAATTGAGTTGTCTGAGAGATACTCTCCAATGCCAACAAAAAGATAAATAAAATAGCAATTATTTTCTTTCAATTAACTCTGCGGCCTATAATCTTTAGAACTGAACATGCAAAGTGCATTAGTAATTATCATTACAACTATTCTATTTAAAGCAGATATAGCTGATTATTTCCTACGTAAAGCACACAACCCACTGACCACACCTCTCTTTGCCTCCCACCGGGACACAGGAGCTGGTTTGTGTTTGCCCACGTGGAATGGATGAGCTCAAGCACTCTTAGTGGAAAGCTCCTGGTTGCACAACTGCTATGTGTGTATATATGTAGATATATAGAGATATACACATATAAATATATATATATAATATATATGCAGGTGGAGGGAGACTGATACAGCGTGGGGACTTGGAATAAGCAGTTTAATTCCCTCAGTTATGGATGAAAACGTGAGTTAAGGGACAGCATGTGTTACATGTGCTGGACCAATCTGATTTAAAGCAAAGGAAAAAAAGGCAAAAGAACCCACACAGTAAAACCCAGACTTATCCCAACTCTCATGTTGTATTTATGCTACCTTTAACTGTCCCCTCTTAACATAATTATTTCATTTGAAGATATGCATAATTGTTTACTGACTCGTTTTTAGTTGTCTGTGTATCAGCAGGTCACCAGTAGTGGAAAGGGAAGGGGTTAGAGGCAGAATTCTGCATTCCTGTGCTTTCAGTGGGACAGCTGTTTGGGAAAGTCTCATCCAGCCTTGAACATTACACTCCTCCTCTGCATCAGCAAATAACTGTACCTGATAAGTTGGGGTTAAAATGAATGTAGTGTCAGGGCAGACTGTGTGTGTGTGTTCCGTGCACACCCTGCCTGGGGCTGGGACTGGAGAATAAGACCCTGCCTGGTGGACTGTGATGGTGAACTCAGTAGAAACAAGCTGTGTTGTTACTGCCATTTCAGACAGAACCCTCCTGTAAATCACATC